GTTTGAGGTTTGTTTCTTTCTATGGCCATGACACCTGATACCGTCCATTGATTTTCGTAATGCTATCCTTAAATTGGTTTAAGGCTTGTTCGTTATCTTCGTCATTAGGTTTGTCCTGTATTCCGATAATTTCCTAATTTCCAGAAGCGATCTATGTCTGTGGCAATACTATTGACGGATACAGTTGTTGGTGTTCTTTGTGGCCATTCGGATGTTGGCGTAATATCTTTACAGTTTGATATAGTTGTCACTCCAGTGAATTTAGGTGGCCTTGTTGCATCTCCACTGCCAGCTAATATCGAAACCAACCTTAGTATTTATCAAGGAAAATCCTGATCTTATAACTTGGCATTGTTTAAATGGGATTTCTATGGCCATGACACCTGATACCGTCCATTGATTTTCGTAATGCTATCCTTAAATTGGTTTAAGGCTTGTTCGTTATCTTCGTCATTAGGTTTGTCCTGTATTCCGATAATTTCCTAATTTCCAGAAGCGATCTATGTCTGTGGCAATACTATTGACGGATACAGTTGTTGGTGTTCTTTGTGGCCATTCGGATGTTGGCGTAATATCTTTACAGTTTGATATAGTTGTCACTCCAGTGAATTTAGGTGGCCTTGTTGCATCTCCACTGCCAGCTAATATCGAAACCAACCTTAGTATTTATCAAGGAAAATCCTGATCTTATAACTTGGCATTGTTTAAATGGGATGAACTGAGAGAAGTAGTCAGCTCCGATAAGTATATCGGGGCGTTCTACGCATCTTAAACTTCTGTCTAATTGAATTTGACTCGAGATACTTGGTATGTCCAGTTGGTCTAATGGAATTACCGGCAGTGAGTTGGTTAAATATTCTATCACCTTCACTTTGAGGAATATGGTCTGGGAGTCAGTGGTTTTTACTCCATCAACCGTTGTATATTACGGAGATGAAGTTGAGTATTTGTTGCTGAATGAGGCAATCCTCATGACTTCACTTTCACCAACCTAATTTTAATTTTAATTTTTGCCTCAATTTTTTTGAGACAAACGATGTTTGCGCACCAGTATCGAAGAGTACTATAGCTTCGCTTTGAATCTCCTGATTAACTGGATTGATAACATTGACTTTTCTGCATAGAAGTAAAACTTCTTTTTCCCTTTGATCCGTTTGGTTTTTATTTGTAATATTGACGTTAACGGACTTGGCTTCTTCTTTATTTGATTCGTCGTGCCCTTGATACTTCTCTTCGCATAATGCTGTGTTGTGAGGGCCTTTGCAGTAAAAACAGGAACTGCTTTCTGCTTTTACAATCCGTCGTCTTGTGACTATTATCAGTTCAAACAGGCCTTTAATTCCTTCAAACGTTTCGTCCTTTGTTTTACTGTTGAGTAAACCTGACACTCATTATCCCAATGATCTTTATTACAAAATGTGCAGGGTCTTTTTGTTTTAATCCCTTTCGCCTTTGATTTGGGAATTGACACCGATAATGCTGAGGTTTCATTAGGGATAAATCGTGAAAATGGTTTTGACTTACTCTTTACTGGTTCATGATTTTTTGTCATATTCAGGGATTGGATCCTCATTACTTCTTCACTTCTGAGCACTAGTTTCCCGAGAAATTGTCTCAGCTTATTTACTGACCATGATTCCTGTTGATAAATCCTTTCAAGGATCCATGCTGGCAGTCTGTTTTCAACTATTATTCCAATACTTGACTGCTCCAGGTTCTCGCCCATGGCTTCCAGCTGTCGCAGTTTTCTTTCGATACTTTCAATTGTCACTCTCCATTCCCGATCATTTTTTTTGGTCGAGTACAGTTCATTATAGAGTGACCTCTTGATTGTATATGATTGACCAAATTTTTCGACAAGAACCGTTCTGATAACATTGTAATTTTCTGGGGTTATATCATGTCCCCTTACAGCTTATAAGGCATCACCTTTCAAACAAGCAATAAGATAATTTAATTTTTGGATATCTGGGATGTTTTGGAGCTGTATTGCAGCATCAAAGCTACTCCAAAATCCTCTCCATAACTTTGGGTTACCGTCAAATATTGGTAACGGTAACTGGGGCAAATTCACTGTTGTGTCATTTACTGATGGTATCGTTTCGTTCTGTCGAGTCAGTACTCCTTTATCAGTGCTTTTTTCTAAGCGTTGGAGTATTAACTCTGAATCTTTTTCATATATTTTAAGAGTGATTATTACATCTTTACTATCACTAATTAATCTTAAAATACCTGTTTCATCGACCACCATTTGTGCGTATTTTTCTTCTTCCTCTCTTCTTTTTTGCGGTGAGGAAATTTGTTGAATATACTGCTTCCACTCTTTATTGGTCGTTTCGAGAGACTCCAGATATGATTCGAGGCGCATCATTTTCTCGTTGATAATTCGTTTTCTTGTTTCGTATTGCTCTTGGATTTCTTCTGGAGTCATAATTGGGTCCATTTTATCCAAATCCATTTTTTTGATTTCTTCCAGAAGGTTTAATGCCTTTTCTTTCACCGGTTGAATAGCTTTAACTATTATAGCTGACATTCCCGGCTCGTGGCACCAAATATGTTGTGACTTTTTCGTTTAGACTGAACGGGGTTTGTAAGGCTGTCACACCACAACAATATAATAATTTTTTATTCTTATTGAAAATGGGGACAATAGTTTAGGTAAAACGTGAATTTAAAAAAAAACTGTTTATACTGCAAAGAAAAGAAAAAAAAAGCCACTACCCCACAACGTTCAAAAAGAAGAAAAAGTGACTTTCTGATTTTTATAAACAATGATTCATAGTTTCGAGAAAATTCTCGACATTCTCGACATTTTTGTGACCTTTTTATTTTTATAAGCAATGATTCATAGTTTCGAGAAAATTCTCGACAATTATTATGATAGATGCGCTTCTTTGAAACCGTATTGCAGAATGGTGGAAGAAATAGAAAAAGGTTGTCAGGAAACTTAAGGATTTTGCAAGCCAATTGGGTTTTTCGAATTTATATTCTAATATAAATATATTATTTATTATAAATAGACAACAATAAATGGATTAAAATTAGAACTCTGCACTACTGTAGCAAAGAAAACGTGCAAAATTTAGATACTAGAACAAAATCTTTTTGCCAGAGAGCTACCATGGGACAGGTTTCCTCTTCAGATCCAGATTGTATTCTTAATAACAATTTCATTGGTGCCAAAAAATACAAATGAAGACAATGCTGCTTCCTGTCAGCTGAAGTAACATACAAATCAATTCCAGGTATTTCTTGTTTGTTAGTGCAGTTAAATAATTAGCGGAAAAAGTATAAGTGTAATGATCAATATAGAAGACTTGTTGAAGACTTGTCTTTATTTTAGTAAGGTCATTTTGCGTTTTTTATGGTTTCTTGTGGCCAAGATTTGACCGCCCTTATATACATATCGTGTTATACCGTTTGCAATGTATTGCTTTTCTGTGTGGGTGATTCCTTACAAGTCGTTGTGATTTATTGTATTATTATTATAAAATATTTATAAAAAGTTAGCAGTTTTGTTTACTGTGGAGTAACTGTGGAGTTTGAAGTTGAAATTGCTTGCAAATTAACGGTACGCTAACGCAATATAATTGGAAAAATTATAATAAATAAGACTAGTCGAGTGATTGACTGAATGATTGTTTGGATTCCTGTGGAGTAATACAGATTCCAATTTCTGTCTCCGAGGAATAAATTTAATAATCTGGATGGCGATGGTGGGTGGTGCGATTTACGTGTGCTCCTATTGCTAATTCTTGGTAAAAACCTCTAACTACATTAGCAGCCAGCCAAGATAAGAAAATGGTGAGTGCTAAACTTTCATTACTTATCTACTTATATAACTTTCATTACTTATATATATATGTTGTGATTTATGGAACCAGGGCAGCCTGGTACTAAAATGCTGACTGGAACAAACGTTATACATCTAGATATTCTGAGAATGTGATAATTTGTTATTATAAAAGCCTGCATCCACATTAAGTGCTAATCAGTACTTCAATGCTTCAGTATAGAAAAAAGGAAGTATGAATTGCTTCTTCTAAAGATTGGTCAATTGTGCATTACAGCCTGAATCGAAGATAATTAGAAAAAAAAGTTGGATGTGCACCCATCAAACTGGGAAGCTGGAAATTTTCTTCCAACTTTCGCGTCGCAGAGATTTGATATGACGCAAAAAAATCATGAGTAAACCGACTGTCAACTCTCTAGACTGACTATCCAATGTAGTACCAACAGACGATGTACTTGAAGATGTGAATAGAGTCCTCATACCAATTCATATATAGTAACTATGATGGAACCAATGAAGCGATGTATACCACAAATAATTCTAGAAATGCTGGTTATAGAATTACGAAAAATAGCAATAGGTCTTGCAAAATTAGATTGGAGAATAACGATATAGAGCAGTTATCAGATAAAGGAATTGTAAAAGGGTGTAGAGATTAAAGATAAGATTTAGCTACTGGAAAATATAAGGGCCATACTTTCTTGATGATTGACTTCATTGACATCACGAAGACGAGGTAATGCTTGAAGCAAACTGTGATCATCTAAAATTTGAATGGATTTATTTTATTCTTATTACCAATATCTTATAGATTTAATATTATTCTGCGAGCTAAATCAAAATGTTATAAAATTGAAATTATTAAGATGTCGTAGGTAGAAAGCTATAAACTCTGTTCTAAACTCGCAATTCGCCCACAAAATAATGGCTATCAAATGTTTCTCACCGCTTACCACTATGATCCAAGGTTTTTTTTTAGTTATAATAAATTTTCCGCAATGTTAATAAAAATAATGATTTACGTAATTTTAAATTCATTGATAATTTTTTTAATTTTTCTAAAACGACGGCGATATGCGAAATAAACAAATATATGAAGACAACCTTATTCGAAATGCTCGGTGGGCGAAAATCAAATTTATGCAGGCAGTGGTGAAATTAAAATAACCATCAAAAGAAAACTTTATTCCTTTTTTTAAAGCTTTAAAAATTTGAAATAAGCTTTATTTTACTAAAAATCTAAAAAAATTTTTTCCTTAGAATTGTTTAAACAATTAAAATTTGGTTTCGCCGACTCTTCACATTGAAATTAAACATGAGCTCTCTTCGGGTTTAACAAGTTTCAGCACTGCCAACAAACAGAGGTAATTTAGCTGGTAACTTGACTTTACAAAAGCAACATACTACTCGTTCACCTTGTTTGTTATTATTAACAAATTGTTAATTATTTTTGTTATTTATTAATTTTTTTTGAAAATTACCTTTGCTTTTACATCATTCTTAAAATTTTTAGCCGTTAAATGCGATGATTATTTTAATAATTGCAGACAATTGAAATCTTATTGTCAAACGGAACCAAATATGGAATATGTGAATATGCTATTACAAAAGTAGATATTGCATACCAATTTGGTTCTTAATATGGATAATAGATTGAAAATTACTTTTATTTTCATTTTAAGCGAATGATTTCAAACGTTTTTCTTGGCCTTTAATAACAGATATTATTAAAACTTAGTTGCTCAGTTGCCATTTTTTCGATGAGCCAATGCTAAATTGAAAGTGATCGGACAAAATGCGAAGTCCTCTATGAGTACCAGTCTGTACTGAACAACTAAGATGAGCACTTTTCAAAGAAGATTAAATCAATTCAACCTCAGGTGAAAAGTGCTAAAATGTTAGCGATGAGAAAATATATGTGGAATAAAACATAAATAAATTTACAGAACCTATGGTTCTGAAACATGGCCAATGAGAGCGTAGGATATTAAAAAGTTATCTGTTTTTAACTACTCATGTCTAAGGTACATATTACGGATCCGTGGAGCGGATAAGATATCATATGATCACATCCACCTTCGTTCAAATACCACTTGCATTAATAATGTTATCACAGAGTGTCGCCTTCGCTGGTTAGGTCATATTTTCCGCCGTCCACCACAGAAGTTGACGCAAATTTCGTTATTTGGTAAGCCGTATGATGGTTGGCGCCAAAAGCGAGGTAGTGCAATCAAGACCTGGACTGATACGGTGAGAAAAGATTTTGAACGTATAGGTGGACCAGCAATATATGGACTTAGACGATGGAAAAAGGAATGGCTCCTATTACTGTCGACGATATCATCAGACCATGCCGCTTGGAAGCGCTTTATCCTTATGGCCGTTGGAACCAGCCTAACCAGTTATGGCGAGAGCTGTTAGAAAAAGAAGAAGAACAGAACTTGTGCAAATGTAGTACTTAAAGTCTATTGTTATTCACTAATCATTATTTATTCATGAGCGGATATTTTGCGGAGAACATTGGCACGCAGCACGCTTAGCTAAGATAAAGTTTTAAAGTCCGATAAAGTTTTTTGATTTTAGGATTGGCATCCTTTAAGGCATTGAATGGCTTTGGGAATTAATAAAACATAATTTAGTCCAAAGGAGCATTAGGAGATAGGTTCGAAACTTATAGTGCATTAAATCATGTTAACGATGAGTAAACTTATTTGAAACTGAAGTTATAAGTTATAAATTATTAAAAGCTATTTTTGGATATTTATTTATTTATTGAAAACCAGCCAAGCAGGGCGACAACGCCATGTGCTTGCATTAATAACGACAGTTAAAATAACAAATAATGAAAATTAATAATAAGAAAAAAAATGGCAAAAATTATTAATTTAAAGAGGAAATTATAAAATAATATAATATAATACTATTCGAAATAACTGTATTATATATAATCGGGTGGTAAAAATCGAGATTTCACTTCCTGCATGAGACTTCCTGCATGATGTGAACTCTTTAAATAATATCATAAATGATATTATATAATCTTTTTTTAATGATTGCTAAGAATTGCTAAGAATGACACACAAACTATATCGTTCGTTAATTTTTTCCAGTAATTAATAGTACGAATAAAGAAGTCATGAATCCTTAGTTTAGTTTTACACATAGATTCTAGTAATTTTAGCCCATTAGTTCTTGTTGGATTCAAATTTAGCCTAAAATTATAATTTGAACAATCTAATATAACCATACAGAATAAGTATAAATTACAAGTATAAATTAAATCTTGTTTAATAGGACGAACTGAAAAAGAATCCAGGTTATTGTAGAAGTTTTCTCTTATAATTAAAATTGCGATTAGGCGAGAAACATCATATAAAATATTTTTGGAGTCCTTCAATTATTTTACTTGATTTGCGATATCTCGCGGAGTAATATATAGCATTGTAGTCAAGAAGAGACCCAACGAACGCTTTGTACATTTTGATTAAAAAACCTTCAGTTTTGTTCTTAAGCGAACGAAAAATAAAATTTAGTATTTTTGAGGATTTCTTTACTATGGTTCTGCAGTGAAGGTCGAAATCGAGCATCCATGATTATTCCAAGATCGGAAATGTGTGAGGCTCTACTGATTATATTACCACTGATAAAAAGATAAGGAAAATCGAAACCTTTAGAATTGATATGAAGAACGCTATACTTTTGAAAAGAACGAGTAATTTGCTTGTCATATAGCCAGTTGGCTATTCTGTTGATATCCTCCTGCAGTGGTGATAGACTATCTGTTCTACCATGAGAATAACAAATTTTTCAATCATTAGCATAAAGATAAATAGTAGAATTTAGCGCCACATTGGTGATATCATTTATATATAATAGAAAAAGCAATGATGCAATACAATACAACCTTGGGGAACGCCAGATTTAACAGGTGTTGTGTCAGAAAGAATGATATTGACACATGAAGCTTGGTGATGATCTTTATATAATCTGACACGCAGTTATAAAGGGCCTCTGTAACGCCATAACTATTAAGAGTAAATTTGTTATGGTAAACAGTATCAAAAGCTTTAGCCAAATCTAGATGTACAACTGATACTTGCTACTGATACTTTTTCCACTGATGCTGAACCTAATATTAAATAATGGTACTGTGAAAAGTTAAGGGATATCATCGTTTCCGTTCACAATAATTTAAAGCGCCAGCAGCGTTTTTCAGTTTTCGATGAGCATGCAAAAAAATCTGTTTCAATAATACAGCAATATAATCAAAGGTGAGAGAAGAATTGGAATTTTATAAATGCCTTCCGAATGCCAATTGTGTTCCGTTACAATTGTGTTTTCTGACATTTGGAAGAAAATTTGAAGGAAATTAGATCTTTTTTCTGTTGCATGCACACTGAATAAAATCAGCAAATAAATAGCGGAAATCACTAAGCTGCAATGTTTTTCGATTTAAAATATTGTTATTAAAACGACAATATATTTTCTGTAAATATATGCTGCTGATCATATCAAATTAATCAGTTGGGTATTTCTTAGATTTTTTTTCCGAATTCTTTCTAAATGTTTGAGATGGCAGATGCCTTTTTGGCTTATTAAGTTATTTTTTATTGGTAATGCAAGAAATATAACCTTTCCTTTTTTTCATTTCGATTTCAATTTTAGATTCGACAGCGATTTCGCTGTTTTACTTCTTCCTTTTTCATTTCCCTAATTTTAATTTTTTCCTTGGAACGGTCGTCTTCTGTGGTTGGGATCGGTCCGCCGACTTCCCAACGAGTCATTTTGTTGCAGAAGTGCGGGTGAATCGGGAACAGACAGGTAGCATTAGCATTTCGAAGTGAGAGTAATATTCCATTCTTCCCCATATTTTTACATTATTTTTAAATGGAGTGTTATTACGGGAAAAGAGTTCTGCAGGCGTCGCTGTTTTCACCTCTCCTCCTCGTGCTTCGGTTAGAGATCCGAATTCGCGCTTCAACGTTTATTTTTTGCACGAATTTTTTTAAATGCCTGAACGTTGTTTTAGAGAGAGAAACGATGGCTTCGCTACCACCGATGCGTTACATGGCTTATACGAGAATGAGGAATTGGCTGATTATGGGAGGAGCTGCATCGATCGGAACATGGATAGCTTGGCATTTTGGATATACGCAAAGGCGCTATAAAAAATACATGGACTTTTTTGCGTTAGTTTTTTAGGCATATGTAGGAATTTAAGATAAATATACGTTTAATACATTTTTTTAAAGTAATTTTTCAAGTTTTTTTATCTTTTTTCTGATTCTGTTTATACTTAATTATTGTGTATATATTATTGTCATGCTGACAAATTTAAATTTAAAATTAAAATGTCACAAACTGTCGCAAATGTCACAAAATTAAAATTACTTCAAATTTTAAATTTAAAATGTCACATATAATGTTGGCAAAGTATATTTATATATTTATTCTTAAGGTATTCTTTAAATCTTATGACCAGATTTTAATTAATTAGGTTTAACGGTAAAAGAGCTGAGTTTCATAGGCATTTAAAAGAGTTACAAGCAAAAATGAACGAATTTGCTGGTCAAAAAATGAAAACTCAGAAATTTTCGAACTGAATGTCATAAGCTGAATGCATGTTGGTGAAAAAATGATATTTGAATTTTGTTTTGTTTAATTTTGGTGTATTTATCGTGAATCTTATCACCCTTATTTTTTGAAAGGTGTCAGAAATATGGAGAAAAAAGTTTTTTGGTAGTTTCAGTTTTTTAGTAATTCTTGGTCGTGTTAGGTGCCTAAGTTGGTATTTACCATTTGTAATTGGGTTATCTCTGCTGGCTGTTAGTGCGGTTAAAAATTTTCACTAGAGAAAAATTTTCAATTTTCACTAGATTTAGCAGTTTCAGATTTAGATTTCCACTATTTAGCAGTAGAAATACAATTGTGTATACCTGTAAATTTTTACTACTGCGGGTGGCAAGAACCAAGACCTTTCAACACGATAGTCTGAATCATTATTCACTGGGATTTCTTTCCTCTTCATTTTTATCAAGTGGAATTTAATCCACTTGTTTTGTTGAATTTTCCTTTTTCACAGATTTCTTTATTAAATTTTCTTTCTCTTTTTTCTCTATATCTTAAAAGAGAATTGTCCAAGATTATGCAAGAAATATTATTTTATTTTCTGTTTAGTTTTACTAAAATTATTTTAGTTCGTATGATCCATATGAACGAATGCGTGAAATCTGTTCACATGGTCCAGGTATACTGGTGACTTGTCCACAGGATTTAGCAAAGATGTATGAAGAAAAAGGAAAGAAAGTTGCTGATAAATGATTTACAAATCGTTTCGATTAAATTTTCTTTGCATATATTTTATATATTTGTAATTAGTGAATTAAAAATTCTCTAACACTAATTATTTTTATTCCTTTCATTCTTTAGTGAATTTGCAGTGTTTTGAAAATTTGAAAAAAAATTCTTTGCTGTAAAAAATTAAATTTTTGGCAATATTTTATGTGATTTGCACACTATTTAAAAATTGCAAAAAATCTTAAAAATAAAAATCTTTAACTTTATTATACAAACTGTACAAAAAATTTTTTTTAATTTCTGACTCAGATCGCCCTAACGGTACATTATTGCCGAACATATTTTTTATGAAATGATCCTAACAAAAATATGAAAATTATAACTAGTCGATTTCGATATTGTAACGAAGTTGTTTAGCTGAGAACCACGAATAATAATTGTCAAATTCGATTATATCTGCAAATAATTTAGAACAATCAGTTATCTTTATTCTTTTGTGGATTATTTCCATGTTTCACAAGAAATTTCAAAAGTCATTAAAAATTAAAAATTTAATGTCATTAAAAATTTTAGGTTTTTTAATTTATTGTTTATACGAGTGCAAAATTATACATACATCTTCCTGCCTTTTCACATAATAGCGAACCCGTGCATGCTACCTGTGAACATTCAAGTCTGATGTAAGGGAAAATGGTTTCCATTTCAGTTAAATTGTTGGCGTTTCCTGTACCATCGTAGCGAATTGCGAACCCTATATCCTCTTCGGATGTCATGTATTGCCAACTATAAAATTCTCTTCATATTTTTACGATTGACTATGTCTGTTAAGCCAAAAATAAAAAATATGAATCCAAAGTAATTTCAGAACAAAGGAACCTGATTGTTGTGTTCGCCTCGACCTTGATCTCTATTAAATGTTTTTCTCCAGCGTATACCGTCGTTAATTGATCATATTCTGGCATCGCTTTTTCCGTATCAACATAGTATGAATCGGGCACAGGTCCAAGTCCATATCGTATTTTTGAAGGACATTTCGGATCACCGTTTTCATCGCACAAATTGCCACCCCAGTGAACTGGCCATGAATCCAGTTCTATGTATTCTTTGAGCACTGCTTGCCATTCATCAATTGATGGCATCTCGATTAATTCCTGGAATGATTTTATCAGTAATTTTTTACTGTTTGAAAATATACGCTGCAAATTAATTAATTAATTAATTGACGCTACCTGCATATGAATAAATAGTTTTTTACAGAAATTTATTTAGATGATCTTACTGATATAAAGATTCCTTTAATATTGAACATTAAGCATTAAAGCATTAAAATATTTTTTACTAATATGCAATTTAGGAAAATTACCAAAAAAAGAAATATTTCTGGTGCCATCAAAAGTACATTATTTCGAAAACTAGAAAAGGAGAGGGAAGCCTAAGCCACTAACAGACCACGAAATGACTTAAAAATGGCTAAACAGGTTCAAATGAATAAAAAAAATCAGTAATTTGTTACTTGAAGGTACGTCAAAAAATTTAATTTAAACGATACTAAGCGATATAACAGTAATAATACAAAGTAGAAAAGCATGCTAAGGATCGTTTTATTCTCTCTAACAACCATCACACGAATTGACTGACGCGTATCTCTCTACAAAAAGCAGCAAGGCTCAAGCAAAATGCGGAAGGGTTGGAAGAGATTTTCAGAACATAGCACACGCACCCCTAGATATGAAAGACAGCGAAATGAAAAGAGGCTTAGAAACGCTTTAGCATTCCAATCAGTAAGACCAAGCCTAATTATCAACAATATGCACAACTGAAAGGAGAAATATATGCAAAATTCATTGATGAAAATCATAACTGACAATGAAATTACCTGAATGATATCGTTCAAAAAAGGTGTCATTGCATTAAAAGCGACTCGTGCCATTTCAGGTGCTCGAATTATTAAAATTTTTTTCAGTACCAATGGATAATGCTCTTGAAATAATAGAACAAGTGTTGTGAACGATGAAGCGAATGATTTACACATATAATGTGCACTACTCATGTGGTCTAGGTCAAATATTAATATCATTTGTTCAAATGCTCGACCAGTCTGAAATTCTGATATTCTTATATGCGAAAAATTGATTCCAACCTTAGATTCACATTCTCTCGAGTCAATGAGATAACTATTATCAATTAAGTGAAATGAGGATTTTTAAAAAGTTCAGAATTCAGAAGTTGAAATTTAGTTTCAGCAAACGTTTCCACAGATGTCAATTGGGTAAAAATAAGGAAAAGAAAATTGGCAGAACCCAACTTTTCGTCATAATTTGAATCAAATGATATAGTAGAAAGAGTGCGTTGGAGGGTTACTTCTTTAACAAGTATTAAATCCTTCTGATAACTCGACTAGGTCACTACCAATATTCTCGTGCATGGACAGTCGTGATGAGCAACCGTAAACCGTAATATGCTTCTATTTTTCAACTTAGAATTGAGGTTGATACCGCTGCATCCATTTATCCATTTATTTCGTGAAACTAGCATATCGGTTTTGCTCATTTCAAGCAAAAATAAAGCAATTTTAGTAGGCCTCATCACATTCTATAAGATCTGATGAAAAACCTCTTTCGATTTTTCACTGCACAACTGAATACCCTTCTCGATCGCTGCTAAAGAATATTTTATATAATCGCTCGCTTGAACTGACTTTATTATACCTTAAATTATTTCATTAGATAGACAAAATAATTAACATAATTTGCGAATGTATTGTAACATATATATGTTCGTAAAGCCGATCTCAAACCAAATATTAATTAGTACGCTTAAATTTTATCTTTTTAATATTTAAAATCTGTTTCTCTGCTTAATATTCTAAGTTGTTTCTTCTCTTTACTTTATTTTTCTTTTTGCTGTTATTTGTTATTAGTTTACGATTCGCTATTTGGAATATTTATTATAAAATGGCTATAAAATTAAAAAAATATTTTGCCGATCATAAAAAATTTTGAAAAAATGAAAAAATTTATTGCCAGTTTTCTTGAAGATATACTACCTTCAACATCCATATTACCGAGTAAAGACATAAGTACTGGTAATCCTTCTTTGTCTGAAAGAAAACCGTATCCACAATATTTCTCCAATATCTAAAAATATCTAAATAATTTTAGAAGGTGAAGAAATCACAACCATTTAATCAGCACTCGTCGCTCCACTGGCTATAAATCGGGTAAAATATAAGATATTTTCGCCATTCATAAATAAGCGGATCTCCAGCACCATGCATTTTTTAGATTTCCTCCTATCAGCAAAGGCTGAACAAAATCTTGCTTGAGAATAAAATATATTCTGTCATATTGCCTCTTAACGTGATTTATTTTAAAAAATTGTCTTACTCTATCTATCTATATAACCAATCAAAAGTTGCACAGAAAATTATAAACCTCAGGTGCATTCCATTGATCAATATTGTTTAAATTCCATGCTTTCCGGAAAATTAAATGCTTCTTTAGCGCATCAGCTGCTTCATCAAAACGACCATTTCGCGATCTTAACCATCTACAAAAATCCTTTGTTTAAAATAGTATGTTTCGGTCAACTAAGCACCGAAATAATTCTTTGCCATATTTTTAGTTCCATTAATCACCAAATAATGATAATGATATTACCCAAAATAAAAGTGAAAGACGAAGAGTATCAAAACACTTATCGCTAACCATACAACGGCGATAATCGTGGTCGTTTTACCGTTTATCTTCAGTTTGAAGGAAAGAATAAAAAAATCAAAACCAATGTGATTTTCTTACCCAAATAAAAAATTTCCAAATGATCACATGTCAAGGAAATTATCTGAAGAATTATTTAAAATGGATTCACACCATTACCCCTATTTATTAATAGTTTATCTACTGTTTTAAGCCAACGTATTTTCATTAATTAAAGTAATTAATAGTTGGAATAGTTGTAATGAAATTACAAACAGCCATAAGTCAAACTACAAATTGCAACTAAATCTATAGAATTTTATAGAGGGAAACAATTCTAATTGATCAAAAATTAATTGAACATTTCCATCATTTGTTTTGAATATTTGAATCAAATTATCAAGTTATGATTAGGAAAATGATTCGCATCTGATTTTCACCTGGTTTAATGATATAATCAAATCAATCTAAAGGAACTTCTACTTATTTTCTTAGGCTGTTTTATTCCCTATTACTGCTAGCAAATTATATTCCCGCATAATAACTAACTATCTAGCTGGTTATACAAAAATCTGTAAAAACTTATTAGAGATTTTCCGTTTCGTTGCAATACTTTCGGGAATCAGTATGGACAGTAGTAGCAAGTAAGCCAGAAATTTTCAACTATGGCAAGCGAAAAAGCTTTAATAAAAATAAATTGTTAATTTTGTAGAGATTTTGGTAAAAACAAAACAATTGCTTAAATCAGTCAATCTTTCGCTGTAATGCCAAAATATTTAGGTAAATTTTATGCGAAAAAGCTGGAAAAAGGCTTAGGCTTAGGCTTAGGGATTAAAAGCAGAAATCCAAATGTCGACGATTTATAACTCCACCTCTAATCCATTGATATAAACTTAGCATTAAAGACAAACATCTGGTTAGTGCCAATATTCCCTACTTGCACTCTAATCCATTGATATGTACGTTTCATGCTGAAGATAGGTATGGAAAGAATTTTTTTCACCAGAATCAGAAAAAGAATGATAATTGCTGAGTTTTATTTTATGTGCAAACCTAAATTTCATGAAATTTTTCAAAATAATCAAATAAACATAGATCACAACTATCAACTGCCATCAGCGCATTGCATGCGCAGAATTGAATAAAAATCAGCTCACCTTATAATATATCCGTCATCAACCAAGTCTAAGTTCGGGACAACAGTTCGTAGATCATTAATAGAGCTTAACTCAAATTCAGAAATAGGTTGGCGAAGTGACGACGAAAACGTTGAACTATTTTGCATCGCTGGTTCAAAATTATTGACGATTTCTTCTACTTCTTCTAAATGATTTTCCATCGACACGCCTTTGTCAACTCGTGCCTAACCAAATATTTTTAATGTATTCTTCTTCTCAGATTGACGATGATGATTAAATAGAAGGAACTGTTGAATGATATAGTTTGATGTGTGAACGATAAATGGCAGAAACGACGATGATTACGGCAGTGCGCAATAAATTTTTGAGGAACAAATGTGCTGGAATATGAAACACGAAAAAAAAGCCAGTTCAATGTGGAATACTCTGCCTTATTCTGACCTTGACAATATCTATTTTATTTTATCGATCTTTTATTATTTATCGGGGTTTTAAGGCGAATTGGATACAAATTCGTATTTTATCTTCTCTCTTATTTTATCAATGTAAGAAAGTGAATAGTGCTCACCATTTCTTATAAGGTTCAATCCACTTGCTATTTGAAAAACTGTAAAAGCAACAACCATGAGAAATTTTTGCCAGCGAATTATCTGACAGTTAGAAAAAGGTGGATCCTCGGCATCAGCCGTACCAATAATAACACAACAATTTTTTGATTATTCACCGCATTCACCATTTCTGATTTGGCTCGTTGCATAATCTTGGGTGGCATTTCCTCACCAAAGAGATTTGATAAAAGTGTACAAGTGAGTTGCACTAACCTATACTGAATAATATTTCCATTTGAATTTAGTTTCCGAATTTTATAACCTAAATTTTAGCGTAAAATTTGTGAGTTATTAGTAGTTTTTATTTTGTTTAATATAATAATTTATAATAATTTACAAGTAAAACCCTGCAATTTTAAATTATTTAAATAATTTTTGAAAAATTCCAATGAATTAAAAAATTTTCCAGTGTGACAGATTTTCATTAATTCTCTTTGATATCCTTTTTTTTCTTAAAATTCTTATTAAAATTTTTTCGTTACTTGGAGATAAATAAAAGATAATTAAAATAAAGGATTGGAACTAACTGTTTCGTAGTCTTATAATTTATTGAAAAATAATGATTTGCGACAAATAATTTTTTCCACAGTAATTGTTGTCATCGGATAATTTCGTTAACGAGTCAACTGAGGATATAGAATTACTAGTTCCACAGCATAATCCAGATTTCCTCTTTAATAATAAAATTTCCTTCCATCAATAGGCAGGCATTAAATTTATATACTTTAACAAGGCAGTGTAATGATAAAACAAAGTACAGGAATATAATATTAATGTCATTATTATTATTATATTATTGCAATAATAAAAATAAAATCAGGCCCTAATATGCCGAAAAAAATTTCTTCAGTTTCTGATTTCTATTATAATCTTAATTCTTCTTTTTTACTTGTTTTGCGGTATTTCGAGAAGTAACGGGTAGTAATATAATTAAGAAGAGACCCAACGAACGCTTTGTACATTTTGATAAGAAAACCTTCAGTTTTGTTCTTAAACGAACGAAAAATAAAATTTAGTATCTTTGAGGATTTCTTTACCATGGTTCTGCAGTGAAGATCGAAATCGAGATTTTCATCCACGATTATACCAAGATCGAAAATGTGCGAGACTCTACTGATTATACTGCCATTAATTAGGAAAATCGAAATCTTTAGAATTAATATGAAGAACGCCACACTTTTGAAAAGAAAAGGTAATTTGCCTGTCATATAGCCAGTTGGCAATTCTACTGAGGTCATCCTGTAATGAAGACAGGTTACCATGAGAACAAGAAATTTTATAATCACCAACAAGATATAAAGATAAATGGTGTTGGAAAAAAGAGTATTTTATTGTTGTTGTTGTTGTTATGAGTCGGAAGGGAAAGTTTTTATTTACCACTGAATTAGCAAGCGATATAATACAATAATAAATGGGTCAAAGACGAATAAATTAAGGTTGAAGAATGTCATGAAGAATGAGGGTTGAAGCATCGAGATCAGGTGCTGGAGAGAAATTTTTACTATTGAAATCCTTCAGAGCCAGGAGCTTATATATTGCCCATATGTGGGTTAAGCTTACAATATTATGCAAATTACATTCTGTACAAAAAGATTGCCTAGAAATTTTTTTCTTCCAAGAGTACAGCTGTTTCACAGCTTTTATATTTAAAATTTGTAAATAAGAAAGTTTTTTTTTTTTATAAATTGGCTGATAGATGAAAATGTTTATGTATAAAGAATGGAAAAAATATAAATTTTGTATCATTTGAACATTAAATAGCTAACTCATGTGAAGAAATACGAAAAACTCCTTTGCTCAAGTTTTTCTTTTTTTTTAAATAGTAATTCTTTCGATTTTTTCCTATCAATGGTAGAATTTAGTACTACTTTGGTGATTTCGTAAAATGCGATGTTTTTTCTAATTTTTTTAAGCGTCAACTTTCATTATCTTAATTAATTCCTCGTTTATTCCATTTGCATATGTCAACAAACTATTAATATATATTCTTTTCAAAAAAATTATTCTTTTTTACAAAATTTTCTTTTTATGGAGCAATCAAGGGAACCAAGCGGTTGGATCTCAATATTTCAATATTTTGCATTTTCATATACATCGTCATTTAATATCCTTTATAATATTTATTTCTTTTTTATTTGTTTTTGAGTTATCTTTTTAGTTTTCGGATTTAATTTGTATCGAATATTGTTTTTTCTTATCAGTGTATATTACTGAGCCTTAATTACTCAAGTTTGATCAGAAATAAAATTTTGTTAACACGTGCGGTGATCAGTACTTCTACTATTGTTCTGATAAAATACCGAATCAAGTATTTTCTAAAATATTATGTCGCAGATGGGCTGTTTTCATTTTATTTTTTACAGCTGATATCATACAGGTGAATATATAAAAAAAGAAATGGCGCAGCTACCTGATTTAACAGGTGTCAGAAAGAACATTTATATCTCCAGCCTGATGACGATCTTTTATGTAATCTGACACCTAGTTGTACAGGATGCCATAACTGTGATAACTGCTATTTCCTCCAGTGATGCCATATCTCCAGTGATGCCATAACTATTAAGAGTGACCAACAACTTTCTATGGGAAATAGTCTAAAAGGCTTCAAAAGCCTTGGTTAAATCTGGCCACACAACCGTTTTTCCATAAGTTGATGCTCAATCGAAGACAAAATTTACCAAAATTTGTGAAGTAGATTTTCTCGTATAAAAGCCATGTTGATAAATGGATATTAAGCTTTGGCATCAAGATAAATGAAAACAGCCCTTCTGCGACATAATATTTGATACATGCAATAAGAAATTATAATTTTAATAAGCTAATCTACCTGATTAGTAAAGATATTAATCTTGGTTAATTAATCATTGTACAAGACGAATTTTTTAAAATTTGCGAACTAAAAAATCAGCAAAAATATTCGCCCGACTGGAATCATTATTATTTTTGATGATCAGTCGACAATGATTAATAATGATTTCTGGTTAGACGCGCTCCGCTGAACCTCCGATGTTTTAGGTTAGAAGTTTTAAGAGTAAATGCAGGTGGATCGCCAGCATCACTTGGATATTTTACTGATAGATTTTACACGAAGCAAATTTTTTCCTCTCAATTTGATAATCTGTATCATTACGTTATCTTGATTCTTATTGTTATTACCAATTTATATACCAATGAATTTTTAATGAAAGATGTCGAGAATTTCTTATGGTTTAAGAAACATTCGCTTTATGGCGATCAAATCCTAATCCCTTTATTACGCCAATCAGAGACTTTCACTCTCACTTGAAAAATTCTTCACCGAAAACAATTTAACGAGCACCTCCCTTTTTTCATGCTTTTCACTTTTGCCCTTCACTTCTAAACCGCATAATGCCGCATTACAGCAGCATGATGAGCACAAAACCAAGGAAAAACAAGACACTTTATAATGAACCTCTGCCGAAATCAAATTGTAAATGATACCATACGAAATAGAATGGTGCTAAAATATACCCCCCATATTCCTTTTGCCAGTGATTTTCCAGAGAATATGAAATGATACGTAACCAAAGAGAATGGGAATTCGATTTTCCAGAGAATATGAAATGATACGTAACCAAAGATTTCCCCACAATTTAGTCGGAACAATTAATTTCACAACCCTACCATTTTTTATAAAAGATCTTCCTTTATCTAAAACAACAGAATACTGCGAAAAGCGCTCTTTGCAGCAAAAGAAGTCCAACGGTTCGACTAAGGTTAACGGTTCTAATTACGCTACATTTAGCGAATCATTTACAAATCCACGATTTAAATTTTTTCTTCTCTGAATTCTTGTTTATAACAAATTTAAAACCAAATTAAATTTATTTCAAATAAATTGCAATAACAAATAAGGACAGAATTATATTTTAAAACAATGGTTCCGGAAATTCAAAAACAACTTCCTTTCCGGTCAAACATTTATAGATTGAGCTGAACGTGTCGATCTGCAATTAAAATTATATGATGAAGATTTCGAAATAATGACAATAAATTTACTGGCTCATAAATTAATTAAAAGATAAAGATATTGCAATCCTTAAAGCCACAGAAAATTTGATTTTACTAAATTACAAATTCTTTAAGAAAAAGAAAATGAAAAACAAGATTATTAAGATCAATGGCAGCTTTTATTAATAATTGGCAACATATCAGTAAACTTAATTTCAGATTAAAAAGAAAATCCTTAAGAATTTAATGTTAATGCTTTACTTCCACTGAACTTATTATAAAGAAATACATTTTTTGATCCTACCTATGAACAAAAAATAAAGCAAATGGTACCTAGTTCTAAAGAATCATCATGTTAAAGAATCATGTTAAATTTATATTTTTATACAATTAATACAATTAAACTATAAATCTTGAAATTACTAAATCGAACTTGAAATAAAAATGATTTCACCATTCAATAAAGCCATAAAAAAAGTCAATTAACCTAAATAAAATAATAAAACTTACCTTGTGTTCAACATTAGTTTGACTACTTTTGTCTAAATGAATTTTTATAATCCTTTTTCCGTCCAATTTATGACGAATTCTGCGTGCAACAACTTCGGCTGGAAAAACAATGTCGGAAAGAATGGCATCATGTACAGCTGTTAGCGTTCGTGACATTGGACGCTTTTGTTTTTCCGGCCTTCGATTTTTTCCTTTTTTTTGCTTCGGCAATATTCGGCGCTGTAATGGAACAATGCTCATCACTTTGATAATAAGTGCTAATTTCTACTAAATGCATTAAAAGTCAGATGAAGAAGGGAAAGAAAAAATGGTTTATATAGTTTTAATAAAATAATGATTAAAATCAATAAATCTAATTAAGTTCACGATCTCAAATACTTTAAATATTTATAAAAAAGTTTTTTCAGATGAAAAACATTAATCAAGAAAGGAGTTATATCAAATTAATAGAAGATTTCTACCCTTGCAATTATTACGACATGTTTTCCACTGAATTTTTTTTCTAACTCACGCACAAGCCAGGGTTGGATTTTCTGAAACTGCTTCAATTGTGGAAACGGTACGTAAACGATAATGCTTTTTTTGCTACCTATTTCAACTTCCTGAAATTCCATTCGTAAAAATAACAAAATAAATAAAAAAATCTGTTAGTTATATGATATACAAACATGTAAATTCGCCGCAATGATTAATGAGAATCCAGTAAAATGTGTAATCCAAATTGAAAATATATTGTATGCAGCCTATGCCATATTCTGTATGAGAATATACCATTATATTATATTATATACCATTATATACTGTAATATACTGTAATTTTAAAAAACAGCTAAAATAAATTTCATTCTTATTCTTACATTATTTGTAAATTTTTACTTTTTTGTGCTTTTTTGTCTTTAAAATATTTTTGCATTTTAATTTTTTCGTTATGACGGCTTTCTCACAAAATTCTCTATAAACATAAAAAAAAACAACTTATTAAACTTATTAATCAGTTCTATTATTCCAATTTCATAACCCATAAATTTCTCAATGATTGCGTGGAAGATAAATATAAAATAATAAAAAAGATCAGAGAGAAATCCATTTCAACTAAATCACTGTAAAATCACAGTAATGAAACAACGAAACAGATAAAAAAATTTTCTCTACATTATTATCTATTATCTCTATTATCTTCATTATGCACTATTATCTCTATTATTTCTTTGTTATATTATTAGTTTAGCTGTCTAAATAGCTGCAAGACTAAAGCTTTTCAAGCCTCTCAATGCAATAATATATTTAAAAGTAAAAAAAGTCACTCCTTTTTTCCAATGTAAGATCCCATACTGGAGTCACAATATTGTTAATATTTCAAATTGTTGTGAATTATATATACATTAATTTCTACAATATGACGAGAGATGCCAGTGGCCAGTGCATACGACACTCACTAATGAAGTCTCAATGCAGATGGCATTGAAATGAAGCATAACGCAACTATATGAGATTCTGTCTGTTCAGCGATCATCTCTGGCTGATGCGGCTATGTTTAACCATATAAGAAAATTATTTCATTTACTTTAGCACTTCTTTTTGTGAATGTTTAGATGCAGATTTCCCAACGATTCCACAAAAACTTTGCTGAATGGAAAAGGGCATTTCCAGATGCAGCTATTCGAAGCTGAACTTTTACTATTTTTTGCTGTGCGATAATGGCTTCAAGATTTGGTACTTCTCCAAATGGTGGAATATTTATGAATATAGATCTTATTAATCTTCACAAATAAAATGAAAATGAGTATCTATCTGGCTGTAGGAAGTATAACTGTATTATAGCGCTGTGAAAAAAATATCGTAACTGCCGCTGAAGTTAACCAAACCAGTATCAATAGTATCTCTTCTTCGAATTAATTTTCCATTTTCCTCACAGTTATTGAATTATATGAACAGATAAGGCCGAGAATGATAATGGAAAAGATGAGCAATCAGACAGGAAAGCATAAAAAACAGGAAAAATATGAAAGTTCCGGATTTCTTGTTGACATTATCTTCTTTTGACATTATCTTGTTGACATTATCTTCTTTTACTTCACGACTTCACAAGCAATAATTTCCTTATTTTTTCTAATGGTGGAAGTAGTCGAAAATCCAACATCTTATCTGTTTCATAATTATCTTATGAAAATACGAAAGTAATAAAGGAATAATAACAATAAAAAAATATTTGAAGGATTTGTAGCACAACTTACTTTTGCACCAACGATGTAAAGTTCCTTTAACTGAGCCTTTATTTCCGATGCTGATTCAAGGTCAGCCAAAGCCGTTGACACAAGTTTTTCAATGTCTGTTACTGGTGCGCCTCCAGGTTTCACTATTTTTGAAACTTCGGGCATTTCAATTCCTATATTAATCTTTACAAAATCTCAAATGTGCAAAATGAATGAGATAACTGAAATTAAATTAACATTAATAATTTAATAAAACATTGATAAAACGCACACCGACATCTATGATAATCATTTAATCATTTCAAATATGGCTTACCGACTAAACTATTAGAGAATCTAGCAAAACATAAAATCTAGCCGTATATATTAGGTACATTCACGATAACAGCATGTATTCACGTCTAATTATCTTTAAAAAAACTTATTAACTTATTATCACTTATTATCTATGAAACCTGGCAAAACAGCCTATGTGAGCCTGCAAATACTTAGCTTTAAAATCAATCAATGGCGATGAAAAAATTAAAGAATAAAATTAGAATATAATTATATTATGATTAGAACATAATTACACGCAGCCATCAAAGATGGGAGTTATATACATATAAATTTACTAATTAATTCGTTCGAGACAGCTCTGTTGGTACCAAATATTATGGTCCTTTTTCAATTTGCTTTGTATTTCAATTCTTTACAAAATTCTTCAATTCTTATCAATCTTAATTAAATAAAATGAATGAGAAAATAGAATTCATGATTATGACACTAATTCTATTTTGTAATAATTAAGTAATTCTTTGTGCTTTAAAAAAAAACATAAGAATAACATGCGAGAACATTATAAATAAGAAAAGACTTGATGAACTGTTGGACGGAATTTTCAGAACATCCTCAGAGTAACATCATCGTAAAAAACTTGGTTATTAGCGACAGACAAACCATCTCAACTGACCAACCATCTCATCTGCCAAGAAAGAAAGCCGAAGATTAATCCGGAAACGGAAAACGGAATCCGCAAAAACGAAACAGGCGAGAAGAAAGCGAAATTTGGAAAAAGTAATGAATTCAACCAATGTGAAAAGTCAAAAGTAAATTTAATTTAACCTTTCTGCCGTCTTAAAACTTTGTGACTTTTAGAAATATTCGTTTCAAAAAAAATTATTTCCACAAGAAATCCGTAAAAAGAATAAGTGAACTCCACCTAAACAACCAAATTCTATAAAACAACCTCCCCAAACATGAAAACTTCGTGATAATAGTTTTAGGGGACAAAAAGAAAATCTGCTCAGGATTGAATACTCTGCTATATATCTATTGCAGCTCAAAATTCACATCTGAATTTCACTTATTTAGCAATAAAGTATGTCAATTTCTCAGATTGGTGGCAAAGGACGTGGAGTGCACTGGCAAATTTTTGCAGTATTGATCATAATAAGTCTCAATAAAATAAAAATAAGAAATAGCACATGGTTTAAATTTCTGCATTTGGCATTATTTTATAAGACCTATTAATGCCAATTTTATCGTAATAGCTGAATGGATAAACATTTGGATATGTCGGTGAACTCACTATAAAAAGGCATGAAAAAGGCATGAACGCTATTTTACTGGTAATTGATGGATGGCAATGATCGACTAGAAAGTTTGCACGACAGATCCACAAGGGGTCGACGAAAGAGATTTGAGGGGAAAGTAGAAGACGGCGGCTTTTTTTTCATTTTCTAAGAGCATTTCTGATTGTTCTCTCCGCTGGCTTGTCGAACCAGGTACATGCTAAGAACCTTGGCAATAGCCGATCATTTGGGTCGCCAACATCACCGCGATTTTTGAAAGACAGGTTTGCTTTTACAGGGAGTGAAATTGGCAACAGCGATCCGAAATAAAAGCAGCAACCAACTGAGGCGTTTCTAAAGCTAATAAAATAAGCACCGTTGCAAATAAATTCAGTTCAGCCAATTGTTTTTTGAATATTCACTCAAAATTACGTAAAATTCTGACTCGTTATATGTTCAGCATTGCAATAAATTTTTGATTTTTGAAATTTTTCAATATTCAATGAATTCGAATAAATAATTTTTATAATTATACGATTCGTTCAGCCCATTGTTTTTTATTTATTCATTCCAACATATAATTTATTATTTTTTATTATTATTTGTCATCGAAAGAATTATTTCAGTCGAATATTTCAACGCATTTTTCTTATTTTTTCTCTTCTTAAATCTTATAGTTTCTAATATAAACAATAATTTTTGTATAAAATTAATTTATTTTTTAATTTTAACACTGTTCATACATATTAAAACAATCGTTGATAAACATACTAAATATTTAATAGTTTATTCTGAAAGAAAATTTTTAAAATTTTTTAAAAAATCGGAAAAAAAATGATTCGCGAATTAAATATTTAAATATTTTATAAATATTTTAAAGCTAAAAGTTTCAAAAACTAAAAGATTTCGAAAAAAGGTTACCGATTTTAGGAAGAAAAAGAGTGATAATTAGGAAAAGAAAAGAATGAGCTAGATGAATAAGCCTTTTATAGGCCAAATTGTCGGCAAGTACCACTATTTTCTTGTTTGATTTCTCTGCTCTTGTTTGCTTTGCTCTTATTCGAGTAGAAATATATCACAAAATGGTGCGCACGTAAAACAATCGCAGAGCCATGAATGTGGAATTTGCGAAACTTCGTTTGGGGTCATTGATAATCGATGGATCTTAGAGAAATCCTCGTTAAATATTCCACTGAATCAGCTGAATATTCTCATATCGACTATGACCGAATAAAGATTTGAAATTATTTTATTCTTGTGCGCAAAATGAGAGAACAATGAAAAAAACATTGAAAAAATATTTGCATACAAAAATATTTGCAATTCTTTTGATTTGGCAATTTATTGAAAAAATACCGAAATTAACGATATGTTTTTGGAAGGAGTTTTCGACGTTTAACTGCAGTCCACCACAATAGAAATCGAATTAGTTGTACTGTTGTACTGCTTTTATTTATCGTCAAATCGAACATTTTTTGCATATTTATATTTTTATAAATTTCCTATAGCTATTTGTACGTTGCACTGACCTGCGAACTGCAAAGTTGTGATTTCGATTTGCGTAATTTCGTAATACATTCTCCTAAGGCAAGCGAGGTTAGTGCTTGCATTTTTTACAGCTAGAATCTTTGCCAAAGAATATCGTAGCAATAGAAATACAAAGGGGTCATCACCTAGATTTCAATGACAGGTTTACAAGAGGACACGGCCGAGCCCTTTCCTTCCAACTCTTTGCCACTACCCACTCGTCTATGCTGGCCTATAAAGTATTATCATAATAGGTTGCAATGTTTTCCGCGGGTTCGTTTTTTTCGTGCTACGAAAAAGTAAAGGTATGAATAAAATATTGTTACATTTAGTGGAAGAATGGATATTTTCCACTATTAATTAGTTCTTTTATTCAGGAAATTTTGATTTCGTAGACTGCTGATTCGTTTTAAAAAATATTGTTGTGGAAAAAGCATATAACAATTATTCGTTGCGAGCAAGAATTTATTGCAAATTTGTTTATCTGCTTTCTGGATGGAATTGCAAGTCGTAAAGGCAAGTACTCTTACAATAATAACATTTACCTCATTTCAATTAACTCTTAAAAACTCTTCGCCATTAAAAAACCGTATTTTTTACGGCTAATTTGTTTCAACTCACTGTTACCTTTATTATTTGCTTTATTTGCAATAAAACTGACTTGTAACTTTCACCATTAATCTTAATGAGCCTAATGAAAAAAAAGGCCATAATACATTTTACTGCAATCAATTTTTATTTTTTTTTGAATATTTTACACTTTTTTCACATTGCATATTACATATAAAGACAAGGTAATCGAGTAGCCAGCTATTTCAGATAAGGCTAAGATATCGTATTTTCGATTCTATGACTTGATGCTAAATCGAAAGTGAAATCAGTGCTGAAGACCAATTTATTCCTCTATTGCCAAATGACTCTCTGGATCAAATCTTTATAGCCAACGGAGTCACCCAAAAAAAAAGAAATGGTGAATCTGATGAAAGCACATTTTATATGTCACTATGGAAATATTTGAATATGAGAAATTGCTCTTGACCTCACCTTTCGTCATTCGTTTTTTTCAAGAATTTTTCAAATTCCTAATATTTAACTTGCTGATCATTTAAACTACTGTGATCTAAAACAGTTATAGATATAAATACCTCTTAAATCAAAGGGAAATAAAACAGGAAAAAAATATCTAAAAGATGAAACAAACAAAATCAATTATTAATAGTAGGGTGTAAAAATTTTCACAGCGTCAATCATTGTGGATCCGCCAGCATCGTCTGAACTGGTCGAGTTATTTCTACCACAGATAATATTTAGTAGTCTAAGCAGTTCAATGTTTTATGTGAAAAATTTAAAGGTGAGCATTCTTCCCATCCAAAATTTTTCTTTTGACTGACTTTGTTGACTGCTGACATAAATTTCCTTGCCAGAGAGTCATTTGAGGAATAGGGGTGCAAGTGGATTCTAATATCACCCAAGTTTCAGTATAGTCATTTCAATATTATCTTTAATTTTAAATATTTCGAAAATTTCCAATGATTTACTATTATATTGATAATTCTCTGTTTTATGAAATGATTATATGACCTTGAGCTATTGATTTGAAGAAATAGGTTTTTGAACGCTGAAAATCATAATTTTAAAAAATTTATATCGCTAAAGTTCCACGTTCCCTTATTTATTATTTTTACAAAATAACTTTGTGGATTTATAATAAATAAACTGTTTAAGAATGCGCAAATTGTTAGCCAAAACGGTTTATCGTAGTAATAGATTTTAGATTCTAACAAAAGAGTTTCATGAATAGAGTATTGAAAAGTTGCACAAATTTATTAAAATAAAATAAGCCTTACATAACTAAAAACAACAAGAATAAAGGCTTCCGAAATAACTTAAAATGAAAATACATTTATGAAGAAGAGGATTATACCACATGAAGGATGACTGCCGATAGGGTCAAGGGTCGACGGCCTTGTTGTGACAAACCGGTATGTGTCATTGGGCGCTTTGTGCGACCTCGGTTGGTATTATGCCGTTTGTGAACGCAAAATTTCATATAGGGTGTAGGAGGGATAAGAGAAAACGATGGAG